CCGCCCGCCCCCCCCGCCCTCACCCCCGCGCGACGGCAGCTCCGGCGAAGACAACTGCGGAGCCGGCGGCGGCAACGGCGGCGGAATGTGCTGCCGGCTGAGAGGAGGAGGCAGCCTCGCTTTGAGAGCCCCGGCGCCGCGGCCACGCCCACCGCCGCCAGCCCAGCTCGCCAATTGGCCAGCCGGGCTCTGGCGCGTTTGGCCAATCAGAAGGGGCGATGGAGAGCGGAGGCGGAGAGAGCGAGCGGAAAGGGGAAGCGAGCGACGCACGGAGGAAGGCCGGGACCGGGAGGGTGCGGCGGGGGCGGGCCGGGAGAGACCACGTGCCACCGAAGGGCGGGGGAGGGGGGGAGGTAGGAAGCGAGGGAGCTATTTAAGCGCAGGCTGGGGGGAGGAAGGGGAAGGAGATGCTCCGGGTCCGGGCGTGTTGTTTTTGGTCCTGTTGTCCGAACCGCCCTGGACTAGCGGGATCCCGGTGAAATTCGCGTTGGAGGAACGTGCCGTCTCCCCGTACGCCCTCCCTCTTGGTTCGCTTTGCGGGGAGTAGAGCGGACTTCGGCTCGTCCCGGGCCCGGAACCCCGTAGCTGTATCCCGACGGGGTCCCTGCTGTCTGGGGCCTGGGTCGGGGCCGGCTGGGACCACGTGAGTTCAGGAGGCGCCGCGGAAAGCCCCTGGGACGGTGGGTGGAAGGGAAAGGAGCCCATTAGACGAATCTGACTCATCCCCTGAGAAAGTGCCCACAACAGGTAGGAATGTAGGGAGAGCTGTTGGCGGTGGGATGACACCACTTCCCAAGTATTTCGTCTTGAAAGTTAAAGACGCTACCTGACCACAAAGAATTAACTTATGTTGGGCGGGGCGCGTGGCACCTGACTTTTGACTGCTGAGAAGGGACATGAATTCCAGGGATACCGTCTTTATCGGGAACATCATTACCAAAGGCAGAAATAACACAAGATGCAAAAGAACATGTCGGACATTTCAGAAAACACGTGGAGGAAATTATTTAAAAGTGTTTTTAAATGCCGACTCGATTGTGCAGGGATGAACGTTTGGTGTGCTTAAACACGGCAAGTGAGTGGAAGAGACCCTGATAACAAACTCCTTGGGGAATTTTGACTCTTGGTCCTTTCTGGTATATTTTTTTTTAGTAGAACAATGTGTAACATGCAAACGATCCTTAAGGAAACACTTTTAAAGCCAAAGGAGGAGAATTTTCCTTTCATTTAAAACGGAAGAAGTCAATGGGCTTAACCAGTGTAAACGTCTGGGTTTCCTTTGGGGAAGAGGGAATGAAAAGAGCTGGATGTTGTAGTGGGGAAGCAGAAGGTAAAAACTTAGAAAGCAGAGTGATACCTTTAAAGTCGTCAGTACTTTGTATACTTTCAGCTGGGCAAAGGCAAAAAGAATCTGCCTGGAAATAATTCGCACTGAAAGTTAACGTGAATATAATTTCAGTACAGATATCAAAATACAAATGATGAAGTTCATTGTAAATTGTTATTCCCCAAAGAGTCATTTAATTGAAATAACATTGTATTTGCATGCTAGAGCACTGAGTTTTTCAAAATGAGTTTAGGATAAGAAAATTCACTTGAAAAGTGGAAATATGTGTATTTTTCACATTCATGGATTTTGTCATAAGCAGGGTTCAAGAAAAATTACTGACGAATTACCACTCAATGATTAGCAGTTATCCTATCAACATGCATGTAGGTATGACTATTTTGTTCTTTCTGGAATAAATTTTATGGTAGCTTTCATGATGAAGTTTATAAAATTGTCTACTGTTCACTACAACTGATTGTTTCTGGTGATTAAACAACCACCCAGGGTTCTCTCTGCAGAATACTCCTAAAAAAGGATATGATTACAGTTGCCAACTGAGATACAAAACGAATAGGAAATATCTACAACTTGTAATTTTATTTGTTTAATATCTGATTAAGGTCTGTCTTTCTTTCTAGATCATATGTGTTTTGTTCACTGCTGTGTATCAAGCACCTAGTAGTACTTGACACATAATATGTACTCAGTGACTATTTGTCACGTGCAAGAGTATGTATTCCTGAAGTTGAAAAACAAGCTAACACTTCTTAATAAAAATGTGAATTGAGCTCTTATTACTTCTAATTTACTGAGTTCCTCCTATGTATCATGCTCATTTCAGGATTAAAATGTGGGGAATAAATCAGACATACATTTTCAGGGGAAAAAACCTATATGTTTAAAAGTAGTTGTGACATACTTTGTTGAGACAAATAATTATCCTTAATTATAGTTCTTAGATAGTCTGTTTGTTAGCCTACTTTTTCACTTGAAATTGTTACTGTTTGCCAACAAGTTTACATGTTAAGTGCCTGTGCTTCCACTTCTTCCCAGACAGGAGATACATAATTTATACATAATTTAGCAAAGGGATAAAGGAGTTCTTCAGGGAATTGTTAACAGTTCTAAATGTAGATTAGGCAGCCTAATTGACGAGATACGGTAAATCTGATTCTGGCTAGGAGGTTTCAGAAATTTAATTTGCTGGAGTAAGGAAGCAGTAAAGTGCAGAATCACTAATACCATTTCAACATTATTTTAGTTTAGGCTTTTATAATAAACTACCACACACTGGTGGCTCAAACAACAAACATTTATTTCTCATGGTTCTGGAGGACATGAAGTCCCATATCAAGGCAGATGTTGTGTCTGGCAAAGGCTCACTTCCTGGTCTAGAGATGGTTGTCTCTCATTGTGTCCTCATGTGTCAGAGAGCAGCCAGAGAGCAAGCTCTCTTGTCTCTTCTTATATGGGCACTAATCTCATTTATGAGGGTTTCACCCTAGTGAGCTTATTACTCCTCAGAGGCCTCACCTCTTAATGCTTTCACACTGGGAGTTAGAATTTCAGTGTAAATTTTGGTGGGGACACAAATATTCATTCCATACCAACACAAGCCATTTAACAGTGGTCTTTAGTGCTTTTTGTATAAATGAAGTATAGTTAGTATAACCAAACACTCCAAAACCTATTCTGTATATGAGGCCTGATTTCAAATAGGCTATTCAGTGTTAGGTAACTTGATCTCTGGACTTATTACTTTTGGTATAGGGAAAGTATAAAACATTATGGAAATATTTGCTTTCAGTGGGTCATGAAATTCTCTTAGAGTCACTTTCTGTATAAAGAAACTTTCTCTGTTCTGCAACAGAGATTTGTGAGGGGAAGACTTACTCAGGATTTTAATTGATCAAATGTAATCTCAAAAAGCATTACAATTGTTAATTATTTCATTTAATCAGTTTACACTATTCTCATGATATATACATTAAATTGAAGTTTGTAGAATCTCTCTGTAATCTATAATATGGATTTTATGGTTTCTTTTACTATTTGGGGAATACCTTAGCTCAGCGGTCCCCAATCTTTTTGGCATCAAGGACCAGTTTCATGAAAGACAGTTTTCCATGGATGGTGGGGGGGGGGATGGGACCTGTGCAGTCAAACCTCACTCCTAGTATTAATCTGTGTTTGCAGCCACTCCCCAGTGCTAGCATCACCACCTCAGCTCTACCTCAGATCATCAGGCATTAGAGTCTCATATTGAGTTAACATAGATCCCTGCATGCGTGGTTCACATTAGGCTCCTATGAGACTCACATGTCACTGCTGATCTGACAGAAGGCAGAGCTCAGGCAGTTATATGAACAATGGGGAGGAGCTGTAAATACAGATGAAACTTCACTGCCCACCCACTGCCCACCTCCTCCTCTGCAGCCCTGTTCCTAGCAGGTCAATGACCTGGGGGTTGGGGACCTCTGCCTTAGATTATGTGTGATTTCTTCAACAATAGCCTGGGTAGTGTTGGCTGAAAAAAGACAAAATTTTGTGTGTCACTAAAAATTTGTTTTTGTTGCAATTGAGCTGCTGCTTTTTTGATAGAAAAACATCAAACCTTTGGTAATATACCTTTATTTTCTCTGGAAAACAAAAGTGATCAGGTAGTAGGAGACGTCATTCTTTTTCATTGCCAGACTTTCCTTGGGGAGCCTGGAAAACTAGGGGAGCCTGGAAAAAGCTATTTTATTTTGACTGAAGTCTCTGAATGGTAAGAGATGATGAATTTAAAAGCCCACTGTTTATATTAATTTGATTAAGACAGATGAATCATTTACTTTTTTTAGCTTAGGTTTTTCTTTTTCTTTTTCTTTTTTAAACTTAATTTTAGCTATTTAGTTGGAGAAAAACAGAATTATAGGCCCAACCTCCAGGCCCAATACTCTCACTTCAGGCAAGCTTCCTACCCCCTATCTTTTCTTTGTTTAAACTTTTTATTTAAAAATAATTACTGATTCATAGGAGTTACAAAAAAAATGTATAAAGAGGTCCCATATACCCTTTATTCAGCCTCCCCCAAAGGTATAATCTTGTATAATTATGGTACACTGTCAAAACAAGAAAATTGATGTTGATGTAATCCACAGAGGCTATTCAGAGGGGAAGAAAGACATTTTATGTGAAGAACATATGAAAGTATGAAGGATGGCCATGTACGAGAATCTCTTACAACTTTATGGGAGTGAATTATATAATGACAGTAATAACAATTGTTACCAAGTATTGAGCACCTACCATATTCTTAGTATTTTATCTATGTAAAGTATTTTATTATTATCATTGTTATTTGTTTTGTTTTTTTGCATTGGGGGTCTCACTTTGTCACCCAGGTTGACGTGCAATGGTACCATCAACAGCTCACTGTAGCCTCAACCTCCTAGGCTCAAGCAAACCTTCTGCCTCAGCCTCTCTAGTAGTAGCTGGGGCTATAGTTGTGTACCACCATGCCCACCTAATTTTTTTGATTATTATTATTATTTTTTGTACAGACCAGGTTATGTTGCCCAGGCTGGTCTTGATCTCCTGGGCTCAAGCAACCGTCCTGTCTCAGCCTCCCA